TTCTTTTATTTTATTTAGAAGAGAAGATTTGTCGATTACAGTATCTGTGACTTTTATGACGACGGATTTAAACACATTTGTCACGACCGCTCCTCTTACGACGGATGTCGTTAGAACTAAGAACTACAGTTTAATCAAAGACTGGGCAGCAGCGATTTCTAATAAACCTGAAGTTTTTAAACCACAATCTCCCATCTGCATGTGGATCGTATGGCCAATCGCGTAATGGAGGAGGCTTTGTTAAAAACGCTGACAAGTTACATATTTACTATATGTCACAAGCATTGGTTTACTGACTTCTGAAGAGGACATATTTTAAATGCAAATGGTCGGAACAATGTTTTATGGCAAAGTTTTTTGGCTCATCTCCCGGTTACTGCATAACAAGATGCATGCAGTACTCATTCTTGTACCACTCCATGTTTGTCTGAACTATTAACCCGGATTCCAGGTTCAATTACTCAAATTAAAGTTGGTTTAATGTAAGACGCGTTCGGCACACAAACGAAATTACTATCACCTACAACTAATACAATACTTACTATATACTACAATACTTCGAAACAAGGACAAAATCTAGACAGACTATTCTATCAGACTAAAAATAATATCTGGTCTAGCTTACAAAATTGAGAAACCTAATAATTAACAGTTTCGAAGCTAAATTCAGAAATAGCATCTCAATTTTACCCTGCAACGTCATAAGTCGAAAACTAAATCTGTCGGACGTTAACCAAATATGAAAACCAAAATAGATAGAACCGCCTTCGCTACTGAAAATAGGGAAGATCAAGGTTGGTTGGCCCACGTCATTTTGTGGCAAATGCTATCGACTGACGACAAAGAATGGTGAAAGTGCCACTGAAAAAAGCAACCAGTGTGTTCTATCGTAAAAGTGATGTTACTCGTATTTAATTGTCGTTTCTTTCCCCCAAATCTCTAAATGACCCTAAACGCACGCCACCGGCTCACCATCGGTGATCCGCTCTCCTTTTGCCGATCTATACAATAAAAAACCTCTGCTTTGAATCGATTATTTGTTTCAATACATTTTCATATTTTTTTATTAAAGTTTCTAATCACTACTCTAACCCCTGCTAGTGATGTATCATGTATCTATTCCGATGCATAATATGTCGATAGAACCGCTGACGACCTAATTCTCGCCAACACCGTCGCCACCAATTACATTGCAAAATGGCCGCCCACTATCGCGGCTGCAAGCAGCTACTCGGTTAAATGGGCCATTAAAAGATAGACACCGCCATTGTCAAAGTCTCTGATTAAGCAAGAGAAATGGGCGATGAATTTTCGTCTCACTATGTGCTCAAAGTATTAGAGTAGGTAATTATGAGTGTTACTTAATATACATATATTATGATGACTATATCAATATAATTATATTAAGTACCGAATAGATAGAATTCTGGTTGATAGGCTGACGTGATTGAGAAAAGGTGTCATGGATATTTCGATATCACACCATATTGGCCATAATATCTGTCGTGAGACGTACTCAATTTACGAAAAGTGAACGGTAACCGTAATTTTTCGTTAAATTGCCCATTAACCATGCCATGCATTGCAACATAATTACTAATTACGCCTTATTAGGCATATTTTCTTAACTATAATCATACAGTAATTACACACACAGTAGTTCTAGACTGTCTACAAGAACTTTCTACCCGAGTTTATGACTGAATGGTAACTTTACAATACAACCATACCTACAGACTGACAGATATATTAACAAAATCTCTTACAAAACTTTGTCCGATATCCTCGGCACTTTGTCACAAACAAATATTTTTACAATACTCCGCGAATGACATAACGTCAGAAACTTTTGAATCTGATGACTGTATCCTATATAGAGTTATAAACATTTGAAGGCTAAACAATCGTCCTATTTTTATTGTACTTGGTTCTGTTACGACCAGGCTAGTACTGCAAGTGTGTATAAGTATGTTAACAGGACAAAAGATTATATATTATGATTACTCATGTACAATATGTACACACATACATATGCACGTATAAAAATAGTACAGTATTTTTAAGTATCATAAATATAGTTGTAAGACAATAAATAATAATGAGTTAAGATGCTAGCAATAACTTAGACCAGAGTAAAATACTATTTGATTGGTAGATCTAGATAGGTTCATTCTCGTTCATGGATATTACATGGTACAATTTCTATGAAGTAATAATCCCAATGGTACTGCTATTAAAGCCCTGCAGCGATCGATTATCTTCAGAGGAAATTGAAATCACTATCCAAGGTAAGACGGAATACCCACAAAGTTATCAATATTGGATCTCTCTTTGCCTCTCATTCCTTCTCCTTCTAGCACAGGTTTGATTACATATCAAAATACAATCGCAAACCAAAACCAAAGTCAATGAACTGTGGATTTAAATGGTAATTGGTTTATAGTTCTATATTTAGCCGATGGAACATTACATTATATGTTTCTACGATTAGTAAAAGGTATTTTCTAATTTCAATAATAATTTTATGTGAACTTTTAACTGCTATTTTGATTATTAAAAGTGCGATTATTTTTAGTTGTTTTATTACTTTCAAAAGTCGAAAATATTGCTGTTTAACTGAGAATAGTATCTAATTATCAAGCTAAGATATACAGGATTAATTAATCTGACACAGACAATTGTCTATATCCAAAATGTGTATGATATTACTCGGCTCCCCAACCTCAGTTAAGGCATACTGCTGCTGAATTTCCCTTTGAACGTATTGCTTTGTACATTTGTTAAGCCTATCAGTGTCTACGATATACGCCTAGTATTAGAGACATAGATAGTCCTCTAAGTGCAAGTGTGCGGCACGGAGTTGTTCAGCGAGGCATGTTGGTACAATCGGTCCGCAGAGGTATGTAATCCCCCGTATGTTGGGGGCCTACAGCGTGTGTAGAGTACGCCTAAATTCATTTCACTTAATCTCTCCTGGGCAGCTTCAGACAGGAATATGACGGCTTAACCCTAGGTAAATAAAACTGGAATTTCACTGTATTTTGAGCCGTATTTTTAACGAATGAGTCCAAGCTCAGAAAGTAGAAAATGAATACGACAATTTCAATTTGTGATAAACGTGTTAATGTTTTCGGGATTTCATTTCCGTATATTCCCTTACAGCTTAGTCTTTACACCGGTTTCTTAAAATACTAAACCTTTTACAGTTACGCTTAGGAACTAACAACACAATTTACAAAAAGGTGCACTACACGTTAAAAAGGAACAGTTAAGAAAAAGCTCCCTTTTCCAAAACATTTTTCAAAGAAAGCCTTTCATTCCAAATGGACCACATTTTGCTTGTCTACTTATTTGACTACGATAAGAGCTAGTTCTTGCACTCAAACTCAAGTTGTTGAACCACTTTATGTCACGCTGCACCTTTAGAGGTAGTTAGGAGTTGAAGACGGCGACCGACACCATTTCAAGCCTCGAAGACATTAAGGGCTCAAGTTTTGAGTTGCCCCAGTAGTTGTACAGAACACTATTAGTGCCTAGTGCTTTTAGTCAATAACTGTCACCAAATAGAGCTAAGTGTCATAGTCTCAGGCGATGAAGGTTTCTAAGGTAGGCAACGTCATTCACGTAAAAGCGGAAAGGCTTTTAGTTTTCTCCCGAACATTTATGGCGCCGCACTCTCGTTGACGTTATGACATGTGTCAGTTGTCCAATGTCCGATTACAGATGTTTGCTGGACTTTCCACTTTTCAATTCCCTGTAGACGTAACCAGTTTTGGTTGTTTCGAAAGCGACTTCGACTCAATGTTTTTATACATATGTATGTAGTATGAATAAATCTGGTTTTATCTATATTTAATAGCGGTTTAATCAAAATCCGTTTACTAGTTTTTGTGAAGGATTTTTTGACAAAAGTTAGCAATTAATGATTCTCAATTAGCGTCGATAACATCAAAAGATTCCCATTGGATATAAAAAACGAAACCGGTGGAGTTCTATTTTTAATTTGAGTTCTAGGACACAGTAATAAATCTAATTAGTGTGCTCTGCAAGCACTGGGACTTTCAATCGTTCTATTAGCTAGAAAAGAGTAATTAATTTAATTACGATATCCTTTCCTCAATACGACTTTGAATCGTTGAACTTCTTTGAAGATAGGACGTTCTAGATATCCTATAGTGACTTTAGATTTCTCTGATGTACTACAGTTTGATTGAATTAGTGCTACTACAATTTGTGAAATTGATTCTCAACCCAAATCTTTTGTAATAACGTTGTTAATCTATTAAAGAAAGTAGACAGTTTACATCAAGTACATAGATTTTATGGATCGATGTAATACGCAAGGATGTTCTTGTACAAAGTTCAACAAATCGTTTGTTGACTTAACTAACTCGAGTAACGTGTTTACTTGGCGTTAAACATACGTTGGTTTATGTGAAGAAAAACAAAATTTTGGTAGGTGTTTTGTACGCGATTTTGTTTGTGCTAAGTAAGTAATTCACAAACTCTTTTGGAATTTAGAATATTTATTAGAATTTGGAATCCTGTAGTTACTAATAATGATAGCAAAGGTATTTAGAAGTTCTTGTTAGTATAACAAGAACTTAGAGTTTAACGAATTTTGTACTTTACAAACTATCTTGAATGTAACTAGCTAAATTTAAGAATATGAAAATTAATAATTACTATTACTAAAAGACAATATATACAACTTAAAATAAAAATAACTATGAAAAAATATTTACATCACAGGGCACCAAAAAAATTTTTTGTACCATTTACAATATTTGAATGCGCCACGCAGAAGATTTTTTGCCTTATAATTCTTGGACGATCAAAAGTCATTTATCAACACTAATGCGGTAGCACTAACTAACGCCAACCAAACATAAAACTATTCCACATTCAAAACGACATTCATCATTTATACACTTAATAACTCCTAACCATAAATCAATAATACCAACAAAATATTTTAAAACAATCTTCTTTTGTTTCAGAGCAACTATACCAAATTCCTTAAAAACTTGCACACCGAACAGATCGCAAAGCTTCATGCTAAAAACCAGCATGAATGCGATCTGCTCGAGGACCTGCGAACCTACACTATCAAGCGTTCTGCCATCGAGAAATCCTACTCTGAGGTACGTATTGAAGTTGTTCGAGTGTTTCAGTCGAGTAGCTCGGGTAAGTTTGCAGGTAAGTGCGAGTGAAGGCAGCGTCAATGCTAGATATTGATGATGAATAAATAGGAATACAATATCAATATTTTCGTGAAAGACATTTTAAATTTATAAACGAGTAATATAGCAAGATTATTTTATTAAAAATTAGTTTCGTCTGTTATTGCTCAAAACTATAACTAGATATTAGTGCACCCACTTTTTGCTAGCGATATTATTAGTTCCATGTGCTAGAAGATTGACCAAAGATTAATATCTTCAAAAACAATTAAATATATAAATAACGGAGGAAGTACCAAGACAGAAGGTAGGCACTTGTATGAAAATTTATGTGTAAAAGTTTTCTACCTACCAAAAAGTCTTTTTAAACTTTTAAATCAAAGAGAACAATGTTAAAGTATTAAACGTTGGCTAAATACTCTAATAAGAGGACAATGGAATATGTATTTTAATCCGACTCATAATTCAGAAAGCTTCGGTTAGCGTGTACGGGCACGTGTTTAAATATGTACACAAGATACTCCAGTGACGGTGGCCTACGGGCGTGTACAGTAGATCTCATCAATCGCAATATGACAGTTTTATTGAATTATCCATTTCTATAATAAAATCACTTTTGTGTGTATAAACGAAGAGAGTAATTTTATTCTACCTGTGTATTGAAGACTTTAGGTTCTAATAGTTGTGACTACTAGGCCAGTGGAAGCCTTAAATTTGAAATATGCTTACATTACTTCTGTGCACAAATGTAATATAGATTTATTATTATGACAATCTCAAATGTCCGTAATACCATAACTATCATTTGTGTATTACTAACTCTTTGAAAAGGTTAATTACTTAATTTCAAAAATGGAACAATAAAACTCGGAAACATAATTTAAACTCTAACTGTCAAGCAATTCGGAGTCGCGGAGAACCTAACGGGTAACCGGGGCTTCGGCTTAACGTGCAGGAAAAGGAACGGGGTGGTTTTTAGTCAGTAATATAGGGAGTAGTCATTCGATGATTTTTCCCCATTAAAAAAAACTGTCAGCAATATCATTTAGTTTCCTTTCACAAAACATTTTCACATATCTCAATATCATTCGCAACGGGAAAGCAATTTTTAATTCCATAGTTCCATTTTTTACGGTGCAAAAATTCACAGCCAGTGCTAGCTTTTGTGTAAAAGCTCAATGGTCCTTGGCCAAAGGAGTGGTTAGTACAAGTACAACATCGGGTGGTTACCCTCAACCATTGAGGAATTCCCTAAACTATCATAATACTTCATCATTGGACCTTTAATGACCATCACCACCCCATCTAGGTGTAAAGTCCTCATCAATACAAATTATCAAATCCAAACATAAGGTAGCTACTGGTAACCGCCGAGGAGTTCCCTCAACTGTCGTACTACTTCATCATCAGACTCTTAATGATAATCACATCCCATCTAGGTGTAAAGTCCTCATCAATACAAATTAATCAAACACAAGATAGCTACTGTTAACCGTTAAGGAGTTCCCTCAACTGTCGTACTACTTCATCATCAGACTCTTAATGATAATCACATCCCATCTAGGTGTAAAGTCCTCATCAATACAAACAAACACAAGATAGCTACTGTTAACCGTTAAGGAGTTCCCTCAACTATTGTTCTACTTCATCATCAGACCCTTATTGACAATTACATACTACCTAAGTGTAAAGTCCTCATCAATACAAATTAATAAAACCCAAACACAAGGTAGCTACTGTTAACCGACTGTCTCTCGGCTTCATCATCAGATCGACTCCAGACCTTTATCAGATTGTAGTGGTTGTTAATATTTAATGAAACAATTTCAAATGCACTAGTCGCCCCTACAATTTTTTAAAGTTTCCCTCCGTTTGTGTCCTGGTTTTCCATCATCAGATCCTGGTTTCCTTGGGACTATTCTGGGACTATCTCCTTTCCAACAAGAAAAAAATTATCAAAATCGGTTCATAAACAACGGAGACATCGGCGAACAAATACAAAAAAGAAAGCATATATACGGTCGAATTACAAACCGCCTCCTTTTTTTGAAATCAGTTAAAAGAATAGTGAATTTCATTTGGAAATATTCCATAATTTTCCTCACACAATTTATAAATCTTGTCTAGAAGAAAATTATGAAATATTTCCAAATGAATTTCACTAATTGGTTCGCATGTGTGTGCTTGAGACATTTTAAGTATATATGTTTCATGTTATGATTGTTTCTAAAAAAGAATATTAAGCTGTAGGTCTCAAGGACCTCATAATTTTTTTGCCAAATAAACAAAACACTTGAAGCGTCTGAAGTGTTACCTTCTTTGAATTTGTAAGCCTGATCAATAAAAAACAATTTTGATAGGAATTTTACAAGCACGTTTTCGATAATAAGCTTATGTTGTGTTCACAGAACCATTTAATTTTCCCTTGGGTGCCTCTTAACAAATACTAGGTAAAAACTAATGTCATCAGATAAAAATGAATTAGGTACTATCTCCCTTTGTCATGTTACGCATGTTACTGCGTAAAACTATTTTTTACCCGCATCTTTGCCCGTGTTCCCGTTTTATTCCACGAAAGAATTTAATCGGGATTAAAAAGTATCCTATCACCTAAGTCAGCCCATACCCTGCCTGTATACCACATCAAAATCCGTTGAGTAATTTCAGCGTGTTTGACGGACAAATTTCAGAATAATTATTTCGAAAAATACTCGATCATTGTTTCGAGACCAGGAATGGAAACACTCGCTAAACAGTCGCACTCGCGAGCACTCGACCAGTGAGGCAGAACTTAACAATTTATAAAAATCAATGTTGCCATTTTATGATGACATAGGTAATTAACATCAACCTACCATACTCAGACGCGTTTAATGATTACTTAAACTATCCCTTAGTAACAATTTGGTTCCAAAAACAATTGCTAAGGACCGGGTTAAGTAACCATTAAATGACTATGCGAACGGCCATGGGTAGACGACTAATTTTTATTTTAATGTCCGTCTGGTAGATTATTTAAAAACATTAGACACGTATTTTTTATTTTCTTACGGAAACAAATAGTTTCGAAGATATATTGATTCGAAATGTCGCGTGACGTCACTTCTCAGTACATTTTATACTAAGAAATGACGTTTTAGCCCCCACTCCTAAACATTGATTCGTTTTATCTAAGTATTGTTTTATTATACGACAAAATAAAAAAATACGTGTCTAATGTTTTTTAATTACCCAACTTACGGACTAATTATATTTTTAATTTTCATACCCTGTCATCATCCCCTGTCCACTACTCAACATAGCATAATCCCCTCGCTTGGCAGGTGGCTTACGAATCGCGGTTAGGTTATCGAAAATTCAGAGGATGCTCTTGTCCCTCGAGGTCTAGTCTAGTCATACTCGGGTCCTGTCAGGATACATTCCATCTGAAGTGAAAAAATTCCATCTGAAATTCACTAATCAGTTCACATGTATAGTATGTGCTCGAGACATTTTAAGTATATTTTTTTTTTGTTGTTTCTAAGAATAAAAAATATTCATCTGTTTAAGGAAAGGCCTCATGATTTTCTTACCAAATAAACAAAGTACTTGAAGCGTCTGAAGTGTTACCTTCTTTGAATTTGTAAGCCTGATCAATAAAAAACAATTTTGATAGGAATTTTACAAGCACGTTTTTCGATAATAAGCTTATGTTGTTCACAGAACTACTTCGGGATTCCTAAGGTGATCCTTAATATAAATATGTAACAAATACTAGGTATCTAAACGTAAATAAAGCTCAAATATTTTTCATCTTATTGGTTGCGGAGATGCTACTAAAAATGTAAAATCCTTATATTATAAATTGGAAAGTAAGTTTGTTTGTTTGTTTGTTCAGCTATCACGCCGTAACTACTAAACCGATTGCTTTGATTTTTTGCAGACCTAAGGTTAGAAGTCTGGATTAAATAATAGGGTACTTTTTATCCCGGAAAAATTTGATATTCCTGAGGGAAAACAAAAGTATTGGTATAGATGGCGCTGTGTGTACTGGTATAATGTCAGATAGGCTACTTTTTATCCTCATATAACGCGAGCGAAGCCGCGGGTAAAAGCTAGTATCAAATAAAAATGAAATCTTGTGTCTATTTGTCGTGGTACGCGTATTACTTAATAAAATTTGCAACAAACACAAACCTTCTGAGTACATTTATGTGAGTAAAAGGTTGAAATGAATTAAGTCTTAACTGTAAAATACAATTGACTTTTGACAGTTTTTAGTATGGAAGATTTTTTAAATATTCAAAGTTATTCCTTACTTAAATTTATCAGGCGTTGGGAAAATAAGCCGTAAGTTACTTACTTTAAAAACTACTTTCAAAAACGAGAAAAGTAGAGCTATGAAAATGTATGAAAATAAAAAATCTATTAAAGGAATGTCCTGTTGTAACAAAACAACATGTTTGGACGGTTAACTGTAACTACGTAGCTCATTAAACATTCATACAACTGTCTTTAATTTACTGCCAATTGATTGGCTGGACGATAGGCCAAAGGTATTTTGTTTGTGTGCTGCCGACTGCTTTTATTGTACTTCAATATTAATTGTCAGAAGTTAGAGTACAACATTTCAAGATGTTTTTCGATATTGAAAATTAGTGGATGGATTGATTCGTATTGAGAAATAGCTGGCATAGTAAATTACACCTATAGTTATGTGAATTAATATAAAACACTACATAGTATAAAACAAAGTCGCTATCCGCCAAATGTCTGTCCCTATGTTCGCTTAGATCTTTAAAACTACGCAACGGATTTTGATGCGGTTTTTTTTAATAGATAAAGTGAAACTTAAGGAAGGTTTGCATGTTATAATAGATACATATTGCACCCGTGCGTAGCCGGGGTGGGTCGCTAGTAATAATATAAGCGGCGAAAAGTGGGTGACGTGTAGAGTCATATCGTTTCTGAATATTTTATAG